TTCTCATACAGTGCCTAGCTGTTGAAAATTAATACAATGACCTTTGAAAACTGGCCGGATCTATTGAAGATGAATAATGATATGCCCTATGACTGTGCAATTCTATTAGGCGTACACTTTAAACTGTGAGAATGTCTGTAGCACCACTATTTTTAATAGCTCTTAAAGTAGAACTTAATGTGAATGGTCATCAACAGCACAATGAATAAATAAATGGTATATTCCTACAATGGAGTATTTATAAAGCAAATAAGATGAATCAATTATTTTTACATGTAACAACGAGTATCACTAACAGAAGTTAGACAAAGAATATGTACCATATGACACCATTCACATAAAATCCCAAACCATGTAAAACTAATTCATATTTTTAGAGGTCAAGATAATGGTTACTTTTGGGATGGAGCAGGGGTAATTAATTGGGAGGGAATAAGAAATGTGTTTCTGGGGTGCTGGTAATATTTTATCTCTTGATTTGAGTGTTGGTTACTTGGGTATGTGCATTCTGTGAAAATTCTTTATAATTCATGCACTTTTTTGTGTGTATATTGCATTTAAATAAATAAGATTTTTGGAGATAAATTGAAGCAGTTCAAAAAGAGGGCAGGATTCAGGAAGTTCTTTTAATTAAAAAGCAGACAGATTTGAGAGGCAGTAGAAAGTAGTCTGGTCATGACTTGGTGATTGTTTTAATATAGGAGTGTTATGGGTTGAATAGTGTTGCTCCAAAAAGATATTTGAAATCCTAATTGCCATTGCCTCACAGTATGACCTTATTGGAAATATGCTCATTGAAGATATAGTTAGTTAAGATGAGGTCACATTGGAATAGGATGGGCCCTTAATATGATATGACGGGTAGGAAAAGAGACACCTACATATGAGGGGAGAATGTGAAAGAGATGGAGGTTGGGTAATGCAGTTGCAAGCCAAAAAATGCCAAGGATTAATGGTCACCACAAGAAGTAAGGAGGAGGCAAGATAGAATTCTGCTTAGTCTCGGAGGGAGCATGGCCTTGCTGATGCCTTGATTTAGGATTTCTGTCCTCTAGAACTGTGAGACAATACATATCTTTCCTTTAAGCCACCCAATTTGCAGGATTTTGTTATATCAGTCCTAGCAAACTAATACAGGCAGAATGGAAAGGACATAGGTAAGGATGACTACCTATTTTCAATATCTGAGTGGATGGGGCACTGAATTGACCAAACTGAATTTTACATGGACTGTCTAAGCAACATTTAAATATTTAAATATGGTTATGATGATGTTTTTAGCAGATAGGAGAACATAATGCATCAATGATTGGGCACCTCAGGACAGTATTTTCTTTCTCACTCTTCATTAAGCCAGGAATTCACCAAAATCTTTTTGTCCAGTTAGGAATATATCTTCCCAAAGCATTTTTGGAGCAGGGCTACGCACTCCCTTAGAACTGTTCGGAAGAATGGCAGCACAGGCGCAGGTCAGTGTGAGTTAACATGTCCCTTCTTGTTTTTTCCAACTTGTGGGCACAGCTGGAAGTGGAACCTTGGAGATATAGCTCTCTATTTTATTATGCTTCTGAGAATCTGAACAAGGAAGTGGGGTTACTACAAATTTGTTGCATTCTCCTTTCTGTTTCTCAACTCTGAGTAAGAGGATATTTGTTAAGGCCTGTATTCGTTTCATCTTTTCAGGGGAAGAGGGGGACGGCACCATGTCAGAGGCTTCTCTTCAGGCCTCCATGAAAGGGATAGGTACCAAAGTCTTTCTAAGTTTGGGTTTCTGTCTCTTCTGCTTTTTGTGGTGGGCCTTTGACAAGGCCTGCTTCCTGTTCCAGCAGATTTTATTCAGGGCCTGCATGTGAATTCAAACAAGCTTTCCCATTGTTTTTTCTCCTGCTGTGACAGTGGCAATGTTTGCACATTGGTGGGAAATGCCCCACTAATTCATCACTTTCAAAGCTGTCTGAGCTCTTTGTTGGCTCCAGAAGAAAAATAACAGAGTCTAATCAAGTACCTTAAATAACTGACATGCTTAGAGGAAAAATGAATGGATTTTGTAAACTCTTATTGATACTAAATTCTACTTGCAGTTAGTCTTGGACATAAATTTCAGAAAATTATATGTAAATGTACTCATTAGTGCACTGTAATATCGAACATCTATTTTGTCTCTGGGCAATTTTTCTTTTCTTAGCACAAAAGCTATTACTACTGTTATTAAGAACAGTAATTGATTTTCCTTTTTCAAAAAGTTGGGTTTTTTCCCACAGTTCCATTTTATCTCTGCATTTTCACCATGCATTCCAATAATATTTTCCTATAGCTTGTAAAAGATTACATTATGCTCTAATAATTCTGAGGGCAAAGGGGAGGTAGGGCAGTGTGGTATAACTGGAGAAGCTATTTTAAACTGCAGTGGGCCCAGAAAACAGACCTCAGAATGACAAATTGAAGGATTTCATGCTAAGGATTTGATTATATTGTGTGTGGTTTCATCTGAACATCATTGATCTTATTTTGTAATTAAATGCTTTGATAAAGCCCTAACTAAATACTGCTAGAGTCAAAATACAGTTTTATTAAAAGGGTTTAAAACTTACAAATCAGCCATATAGATTAGTTGCAATATGGATGCTTTACATGTACTTTCAAATGATTGTTTGATTTCTATATTAGTGTAAATTCATTTAAGAATAAAAGGAAATACTTTAAGTTCTTAATGATGATTTTAACTAAAAATTTTATTTATTTCAAATTATTATTTTTAGGACATGTTCCATCACAAATAACCTTTAGAGAAGAAAAATAAAAATACTTTGTATATTTAAGTTTGATTTTCAGGGAGAATACATAATTTTGTGGATGTAAATACAGTGTTATGTAACCTGAAGGGCACCTGCATGGACTTCTCTTTGCTACTATGTAAATGCATTATTTTTTTTAAACGGTTTCAGAGCACAGCTGAAGACAAAATGAGCACCAAGCATATGTATACTGGTATATGTGGGGTGTTTGAGTATGTGAGTGTGTACATGTGTTTAACAATGCATCTTTCACACCATCAAATGCATTAGATAGGCACAGGAGATTTAGAAGCCATTTGCTCATAAAAAAATGAGGAGATATTTTTCAGATTAAAAAAAATACATACCCATTTTTCACTATTGTGAAAGAAAACATGTCAGCCTTTGTGATTCAGGATGCCCGTCAGGTAACATTTTTTGCTGAATGTATTCTTCCTGCTAGTTTCATCCTGTGGTAGGTAAACAGGCTATTATCAAAATTTATTTAAATCTGCTTACAGAAAGCCAGAAATACTGTAGTGTTCTCAATATGCGGTAGATTGTATAGTTTAGATATAGATGGCTTGGAAAACACATCTGACTACTTATACTTTAATTTATTTAGTAAGATCTCCCTTAAGTCCCTAAGGCAGTGCACTGGTTATGATGAAGGTGGTAGACTCTCAGCTATCAGCCTCAATGGAAATCTCAGCTGTACCTCTTACTAGCTTGTGTGACTGCAAGCAACTTTTCTAACTTCTGTGTGCCTGAGTTTTCTCATATGTCACAAGGAGAAAATTATGATATTTTATTGAGGTTTGAGGAGGATTTAAAACATTTAAAGGATTGAGAATAGTGGCTGGCACATAGTGAGAACTCACTATTAAAATTTTAAAAAAATTGAATGTGACCAGCTCTTTGTTTCCTCACCTGGTCTGTGGTAACTATTTTGACTTCCATATTTGGAGAAAGGGGATGGAAGAACATGTTTTAAGAATTATATACATACATTAATATCATATTTAGAAATGCAAACTTAGTGCTCATTTTAAGGAAATCAGCAAATTATAAAACTTTCCCAGCTACTATTGTATTACTTTGCACTTTTAACAAAGTATCTGGGTGTAAGTGAATTATGAATGTTGTTGAGATTATATAAAAAGCTGTTGATAGTTTTTTCAGCTTTTATGAACATTATTATTGGTTTAACGTCAGATCTTTATGGAGTTTGCAACTCAGCTCCCAGGGTTATTTAATAAAAATATTACCAGAGAAAAAAAGATATATGGTAACATTTAAGCAATGATCAGTCTTTAAACTGACTAGAATGATGTCATTCTAATTTGTGTATGGGGGATGGGGTAAAAGGTGAGGGTAGGAGTATCGGAGGGCAGTTAGTTACTTAATAGTAACAGTGACTACAGGTTCCTGTACAATGTTCTCCATTCATTCATCATATAAGCCATAGGGAGAAATGTGGGTGCTGCCCCTTTTTTTGTAGGGAAGAAAAAGGAAACTCAGTGTTTTGCTGGAGAATGTACTACAAAATAGGAACAACTAATACCCTGTCTATTGTTTATCCCACTGAGATTTTCTGCCTCTCTGGTTATAGTGATGGGTGATAAAAATTAATTAGAAGCTGGAATCTGATTTTAGGATGGGATGTCAGACACATATATCAAGTTGTTAGGTTAGCTGTAAAGCATAACCTAGGATTTATATATTTAGAAGTCATAATAAATCAGTCTGTTATGAAAATCAGATTACCCAGTGTTGCATGCTAATGGCTTATTGTCCTGGGGAACTGTGATCTCTCAAGCAACTGCCCGCTGGCTCTGCTTTTCTCTGACTTGCTGTCCCTCATGACCAACTGATGATTCCACTCTTCCTCCTTAGCAAAATGCCTACTTTAATAAATGCTTCTGGGCTATTATAATGAGATGTTTCCTCCTGGACTATAGCAGCGATCTCCTACAGCTCTCTTTGACTCATTATTCTCAACAATAACCAATCAGCCCATCAATCATGCAATTCACTAAACTAACAATTACTTCTAAGATATTTATTGAGTACCTGTTTTGTGCCAGGGTGTTCGCAAGGTGCTAGGAATCTAACAAAGATAGTGCTTGCTCTCACAGAGGACAGTGATGGAGGAGAGAGATAAGAAAACTTGTAGCACATTGTGAGATGGGTAAAATGGAGGATACAAAGAGTGCAGACTTAAAAAGCAAGGGCTTCTCTCATGAGTGGCACACATAGGGCAGCTTGATTGTTCTATGTGCAGAATCAACATAAAAAGATTTTGGAAGCATAATTGTTTGGAATCCAGGCAACTGGTGGTCATTGATCTTGGTGCCTGTGTTGGGGGCAAAGGGAGAGAAAGAATGAAGACTTCTGTGCTTCTATACCTGTGTTCACCCTGAGCCATTGACCCCCAGCCCCTGTCACTTCATATCTCACCTGTCCACACTCATACATTCTTCCAAGTACAATTTAGTGTCAGAGGGAGGCTTTCTTTGATTTACCCCAATTAATCCTGCCTTAAACTTGGTCTTTCTGAAGCATGGCTGTTTTCATTTATTCTAACATTAAACAAATGTTTATTGGTTCTGGACTGCATTTCAGATGTGTGACAGTGATCAACAGTCTAAAGTACTTGTCTTCATGGAATGTGGTCCATCCCAGGTTCTTCTACTAGACATTTGTATCTTTGTCATTCACACCTTGACTAAGCCATTTTGAAAGGCTATTATTTTTTCTACCTCCTCTTGGGGCTAATGAATTCTGGAAGCTTATTCTCTGTATCGGTGTCACACTGCGTGGCGGCTTTATGGGCGTGCCACCACGGGGCAGCACCACAGAGAGCGCAGCGCTCCCTGAAACCTGAGGGAAACCGGCTGGGGCCAGCTGAGGTGGGAGCAGGTCTCTGAAACCTGCAGAGCCCGCCCGGGGGGTTGTCATGGATGAAGGGGAATAAACACAAAACATTTCAAACATTTCTCTGTTTGCCGGGAGAAGAGACAGGGGCACTTCCCTCTTACTGGAGAAGGCCGTGGCACATCCCTCTAGTGGGGAAGGCCCCATCGCCCCTTGTTCCAAGGCTTTTATTGAAAATCTTACCAGTGGGGTGTGTAACAGGAATGCATACATTATCTCATTGCATCAGTATGGTAAGTTTCACAGTGAATATATGATGCTTTTAACAAGACAAGTGACAGGAGGACACTGATTTACATGGGTCCAAGAGGAGACTAGAATCAACAATAGAGACTATAGATAAGGGGAAAATAGACTTAAAGGCGCCTTAAAGATATAGGGTAAAAGGTGTAAATAAAGTAAATGTCTTAACGGTACAAGGTAAGGGGTATAAGTAAAGGTCCTTTGCAGCATGAGCTGACCAGAGATTTGAGGGAGGAACAGAGCATACTCTAAAGAATTTACTTTTAGGCCTGATTACCCCGGGACCTGCCAGATCTGATTTAGGGCTGTTTTTCCTCCGCACTGTTTCAAGCCTGAGCCAGGCAGAGGGGGGAGCCACCAAGGGTTAAGGAGACTGCTTCTTGGCTGCAATGAGGACTCTGGCAATGTCCAAGCCAAGCTGAGAGATGCAGAGGCCTTTTTGCCCCTTCTTCATGTCCCCCAATTTCTGGTCTGCTGCCAAAATCGGCCAATACCTATTTTAGGTCATATACCTCAGCACAAGATAACTTACCGGTCATTGGCTATTACCATCCATGGCACAGCAGAGAGGCAGGAGCATAGCCAGGTGGGGACAGACCAAGTCTCCTCAGGAGCCTGCTTTACCAAGGCCTCCTGATTATTTTCAGCCTTGGGGCCCTTGAGCCTGTCGATAGGGTTACAGCTCCTGAAACTAGGCTGGGCATTTCCCAACATATGGGAAAGTGCTTTGTAAATTAAACAGCATTTAAGGGCCCTCTATTCTGCTTCCATTGGCCTTGACATATCTCCATTGTAGGTGTTATTGGGTTGATGTGGCAGATAATCTGTGGACTGGGTGTAAAAAATTGGCAGTGTCTAAATATCAGATTTTGCACTTGTTAGCTGAATAATCTTAGGCAAGTTACTTAGTCTTTCTATAGCAGCTCACTTTTCTTCTCTGTAAAACGAAGATGATATTAGTACCTTGATCAGAGGACACTTATGAGGGATTAAATGAAAGTAATGTAAAGTACTCAGCATAATTCTTAGCACATAGTTAGCACACAATGACAGCCATTATTAACTAATTGTGTCATTGCTATCATATTTATAACAATTACTATTTTTATGAGAATGCCTCTGTGTTATATTAAAAACTTGGACAATAGGAAAACCATATCTTCAAATGTCTATATCCTTGGAGATGCCAGACACATGTAAGGCAGTTAACAAATACTCATATAATAAATAAATGAAAAAAGTATCATTTATTATCAAAATGTGTTAAAATATATATACAGTGCTTGGTACATAGTAAGAAATTAACATACACTTTTTCCTTCCTTGACTATTTGTTTAATTTTCCTCAGTTATATAGAAAAGATTTCCTTGGGTTCTTTACTATGAGATTTAGTGAAAAGAAAAACTATGTGTTCTACTCACTTCTTTTGGTTTTTTAGCTTGTTTCTATGCAGTGGTCTTTCTAACTTGACATCATTTCAGATTTGTTAGGTCCTAACTCTTAGTTCTCTTGGTTATTATAAAAAGATCTCCAAGTGAGATCCCCTGTGAGTGTGGATGCCATCAAATAATATTTTCTGAGTATGTGTGTGCACGTGCGTTTATTCCTTTCATTAAAAATAAACATCCCTTGCAGCACTCCTCCCGCCCTTTGCAGGAAGAGAGAGAGCTAATAAAACCAGGTGGGGAGTGAGGGTTCACTGCTGCAGATCAGACCGGAGGCTGATGCAGCAGTTTTCACCATGAATGTGCAGATGATTTCAGAGAGTGACAACAATCTTGTTTATGACTTAGTGTCTGACTTCCTTTCTGAAAGGGGGTTGGCCAGAGACTAAGATGTTTTTGGTGGGACATCAGGACGTGCTTGTTACTTGCTCAGTTTTTCTTACAGGAGGTGTGCTTGCTTCTCCATTCTTGGTTTGACAGCTTTTGTCTGAGTCTGGCTTTTCCAAATCTGGCGTTGCTTCCACAGAACTTCTAGCTTGATGCTTTTTACAAAGGGTCACTCATTTAAATGCCCTTGGAGGCCAACTGGGTAGATTCTGTTACTGTGTAAAGGAGGTTAGGTAAGAAATTCTGTACTTTTATAAAGAGTTGTATCCTCTTCATTCTCTTCATTTTTCTTGAAATGTTCAGTCCTCTTCACCCATTTTCCATTTGTGATGGAGACATACCAATGTGAAATATCTGTATTCGACCTTTACTGTAAGAAAACTAACACTCCATTTAAGAAAAGGGGAGGTAATTGACATTTGGCTTCCATGGCAGGGAGACTAGAGGGGCTAGTGCAGTCGAGGCAAAATGCTTTCCGCACTCCAAACAGAGCAGCCTCAACTCTGCCCCTGTGGTTTGGCTCTGGTGGAGTCAGAGCTTCCAGCCTTCTCTGTGAAATCTCTCAATTTAAAAATGTTGCAAAGAATTTAAAAATTTAAATCACTAAGTCAGCCATTACTCTATGGTCCAAATGAAACAGAACAATAGACCAATGTTCAACCTGTGCTGTAATAACAGTAGTGCAGAATTAGTATTTTCACTCTTCCATACTGTTCTGAACAAAAACAAGATTGTAGTTAGAGCTGTCTCCTTTCCAAAAATCACTTGAATGCCCTTTCAAAAAGAGAAGACTCTGTAGTGTACTCTTCTGAGTTTATGGCAAATCTCTGAAGGATTCTATAAGATAAATGAGTTAGTTGTTTTTCACTTAGTACTAAAGGCTTAAGGGGTTTTGTGTGTTCTTACTCTTGTTTTCCATTTGGCATGCACTACTTATGCTTTAAAAAAAATTAAACTGATGTGCAGTGAGAAAAAGTTACTGGAGCCTGAATGTTGGTTAATATCAATTACATTCTCATGTCTAATAACCCATGCCTGGGAAAAGCAACTTGTTTGTTATAAATACCCTGTGCCAAATCAAGAATAAGCAGCTGCTTTGTTTTAGTCAGTATTTACAGCACCACTCTAACTACTTTGACCCTCTTCAAGGAGGTAATGAAGAGCTGGGTGCCAGTGATGTTGATAAACTGTGGCAATTTCTGCATTGTGTCCTTTAGCTGCCTCTGCTTCAGCCTCCATTATTTAAATTGCTAGTCATTACAGTCATGCCATTAACTGGAAATGCAGCAAAATGACATGTAGGAACAGGGCCAGCAGGACACTGTTCGTCCTTCTATTGTACCACATTCTGGGGTGGGGAGCAATACTCATAAAGAGAAAACACACAAAGCAACCCCCAAAGGCATGAACACTCATGAGTTCTTTGTAATGCTGGTAGAATGTTGTGAGTTCACATTTGTAAGTAATTTTTGGACATTAGACCCAAATCACAGATAATGTTCCAGGCTTTAAACAACTTATATTTTATTTTTCACCAAAATAGAAAATATCTAAGTGTATTTCAGACTGCTTTATTCTAACCCACTGGGATTAGATACAGTAGGATATGGGAAAAGGAGGTTGTTCAATCTGTGATGCGGAACTGAACTGAGTAATTTCCTGGTCACTTGACTCTAAATAATGTCATGTTTAGAAAAGTGCATATTTTTCTTACTATAGAGCATCATAAGCCAAGTAACCTGTCAGTCTTCATTACGTGATTAAGACAACAGTTATTCTAGCACATGACTATTCAATTAACAAATGCTTTCCTTTGGTCTAATACAGCAACTTTCAACTGGTGTCCTATGGCACACCCAAGAATTTTTAAAACATGCAATACCTGACTATTTAGTCAAGGGCACTGATGTCTTTTCCCTTAGATTGTTAAATAAAAAAATGACAGCAGCCAACACAACAATAGATAGGTATCTGGTGTGAATGAATCAAAATTACACCTATTTTTTTTGGTGTGCAACAGAATTTTAGTAATTAGTTTATATGTACCATGAGATGAAAAAGTTGAAAATTACTGATCTCCTAGAACATACTCAATCCATCCCGATCTATCTAGGGAACTGCTTTTGGCCACTTTTTCAAGACCTCAGGGAGGAAGGGATTAGAGGTCTCTTATTTTCAGGGCTTTTTGAGAAGACCTATAATTCCTTTTAGCAGGATATAATCTGTTGCAGCACAAATCTTTCCTTGGAAAACTTTGTCCATCATTTATTAGCACCTTTATGTTAAAATTGAAAAATTGAGCCTGTGTGCATATTTTGGGAGGGAAGGAAAGGTCTGTTTACCCCTT